AACTTGTCATTGCTGCATTGATCATTGGGAAAAACATTGCTTTTGTTTATTATTCTCTCTTTCAATGTTTTACTTTATTTTCTAACTTACAACGGTCAATTACTCACAGAGGATTCTTACAATTACTGATTTGTTAAAGTGCAGCTCACCTATATCTTCACTGACTTTGAAAAGTCCTTTAGCACTTAGCAAAAATTTGAGGACTAAGTTGTTTATCCCTAATGTAAATTGCATTCTGTTCATCACTAAAGGCAGTGAAAGCCATTCACTTCCAACAAACTGATTTTTTGTAATTAAAATTTTCATTGAACAAAGCAAAGCAGGATCAAGAGTTATGATGTGAATAGGGCATGAATTAGAGCCTGCAGTTGTATTAGCAAAACCTCATATGCAAAGTACCTTCATTTGCCAATGCAGGTGTTACAGCTGGATGTTCATTTAACCAGATATCATTATTGAGGATTTGTGCAACCTCCCCTCCCAATTTTTTTGTTTTACAATCAGTCCAAATAACCACTTTCCAGTGAAACTATCTCTTTATAAATAGTAGAATATGTTTACTTTATCTCTCACTGGAGCAAGGAGGATGTACTGAAGAAAAGAAAGCCTAAAAGGACAGAATAATTAGATATTGAAGAACATTCTGCATATGGCAGCATGAGAATTTTCCTATAGATCCAGTAAGTTCTTGTCTTCCTATACTAGTGTAAGCAGCTACTAAGTCCTTTCCAGAACATTGGAGTCAGTACTCACAGTTGTGGTGCTCCGCTGCTTGGAATAAAACAGGATTGCACTGCAGTCTTCCATTATCTGAGAATGAAGAGATGCAATATTTCTATGTGCTGTTGGTCAGGCCTGTTACTTTGATAATGAAACCAGAATAGTGTTGTTTCCATTTTTTATCACGAGCAGCTGGATTGTTCTCATTGTGGTTTGTTGTTTGGAGGGGTTGGTAGCTTCCCTTTTTCCTGTGATAACACTGAGAGATTCCAGATCAATGTGATTCCTTTTTCTGAGAAAGAAAATGAAGGGGAAGCAGCAGCTCCTGTTTCTCTTGGTAGCTGATGTTCTTGCCTCACTGCTGACAGCTCCGCGATGCCACATGATTGCACAGCTATGCAGCACAAATGTGTTTTCCTATACATGTGAAGGAAGCTAGGATGGTGATTTATGTTGTGTGGAGGGACATACTCTTACAAATACAGCATGGAAGAAAGCATAGAAGTGCTTTAAGCAAAATTTGGTTCAACAATGGTACAGATGTCTTTGGAAGAAGACAGTGGGTGGAGAAGAGATTCTTTTTCCCAGTACACTGAAGTATGGCTTTTGCAGAAGCATGCATGCCAGCCCAGAGGTATACAGCCCAGACAGCACTGATGTATAATCATTAAGAAAAAAAAAAACAACAGTATTCCTAGTAAAACTTTACCTCAGTCCTTCCCAATACATCTTAACAGATTCTGTTGTTCTATACAGAGTAATGGTAAGATATGCTGTGATCACGTTTTCATTTTGCTGCTTCTGGACAAGGGAAGGTTAAGATGGCTCTGGACAAGATAAATGGGGAAGAGCCAGTTGGATGACTGAATAAAATAAGTCCAATGAGTTAACAGGATTTCAGCATTTTCAATGAATTTGGAGGAGAGAAGGGATCAAAACTCAATTAAATGAGGACAGAAGTGAAATGTCATAGTGAGAAAGGTAAAATGACCATCAGAGTAAAGAGAGGTGATACTAATGAAAAGATGTGGAGACCTGAGTCAAAAACTTCACATCAAATGCTAAGTCAGGAGTAAGAAGATAAGAGACTCCAAGGTCAGATAGAAATTTAAATATTTAGAACAGTTTTGAATGGTCCAGTTTTCCATCTTTTTATCATTTAGGTCTTCATCTCTGCTCCCTTAACTCGAGTGCCTCTCTGTAGTAGCCAGGAGACTCCACATAAAGAAAGTAGAAGACATGAAAATTATTAAGTAAGTGTTACAGTTCCCTATTGGATTTGGACATGGACAGTATATTTACTGGGTGGCAATACAATTTATCTATGTTGTCTGCAAATTTGTGAGTGGTTGTGAATTACAAGATTTCATTTGCATTCCTTGATCTGTTATTTTTCCTTGTTTCTGACTTAATTGGGTGCCAGTAATCTCTTTTGAGGAGGAAACCTTTTCCAAAAGGAAAACATACCTACTTGGTTCAAGAAAATATCTCCAGAAGAAAAAATGGATAAAAACAAAAGAGTAAGCTACTTAAACTTCTCAAATTCATATATTCTTCCCCCTTCCCCTCCCACCCCCCAGCCGTTGTTAAGATTAGGAAAAGAATGAAGATGTTTACATTGGGATAGTTTATGAAAAGGAATTCTTGGGATTTTTTAATATTGATGCAGAGAAGTATTTGCATACTAAAAAACTGTATTTCCTGCATTGGAGAAAAATGAGTAGGAGTCACATCATCTAAAAAGAAAAGTAAATATGTAACACTACAGGCTTGGAAAGTCAGAACAAAAAACGATAAAAGTAATGTGGCAATGTACCATGATTACAAAAACTCATCTTTAAAACAAATATGTAAGGAATGAGCATACTGTGAGCATGGCTATACATCACATACATTGCATCCACCAGTCAAACCAAAATGTTCTAGTGACTTTTGGTCTTGGTTTTAGGATTAGGCAAACATGAGGTAAAATGCATGATGCTATAATTCCCAACTCATCTAATCCACAGTTTTTTATTAAGTTTACTAGTTAACTGAGTTGTCAGACAAAGCACATTAGCTGTGTTAATTCAATAAGACAAACCTTTCCATAGAATGGAGAAGGTATGGAGCTGGTAAAACTTTTCTTGTAATCTGTGTTCAAATACCAGTTGTGAGCATTCATTTTATTTGAAATTGAAAATCTTGAACTGCTTTCTGTTCGTTAAAGAACTGGTTTCATGATAGTAAAAAATACCTGTAGGAAAGCCAAACTGTTTATTTTCAGAAAAAAATCCCCTTTTTTTTAATGTGGCAAGTTTTATATATCAGATTAAGATATCTTACTGTTATGTTACACCAAACAAAATCTATCATTACTGTTTGTAATATAGTGGATATTATTTACACAGACTATAAGCGGAATAAAATCTCTCAAAACAAGTCTTTCTATTTAAATATTTAAACTGGGTTTGAAATCAGAATTATTTCTTTAGTAAATAATTTTATAATTTGACTGTTTCCTCTATATAGACATAATTTGTAATTTATAAAGGTATTTTTGTTAAAAGACATTCCTAGCTCTTAGAAAACAAATTTGTGAAGGAATTTCTAAGATAAAGTAAGGAAGTCAGCATTACCATTCCCAGTTTGCTTGAACTGCTGCATTATCACAGATTTTAACATTTTGCATTTGTATTCCTTGATGCAACTAATTTTTCCTTAAGAAAGTAGAGATGTGCTTGCTACATAAACATTAATACCCATGTCTTCTCCAGTTATGTTCTCTCAGTCAGCACTTCACTAAAATCATAAATTGGATTTTCCTGTGTTCAAAGTGGAGAGTAGACCAGCTCTGTGTTTCAGTGGGATTTAGACACTTAAATGTATAGCAGCTTTGTATTCAGTATTTTTCTAGGTGGCAGACATAATTCATTCAAAGCTAAATTCACATATTTAGATTTCTCCTTATATATTTATTTATACATTGTCAGATTAGCAAATATTTATAAATATACAAAAATGTGTGTGCATGTATATACATTTTTTCAGCAAGTCTTTCCTACTTCCATGGTTTTACAATGGATGCACAGTTGCATCCATTTTAAGCACAGGATTGACAAAAACATCATCATGAAATAGAGTTTGGAAGATTAGGAAAAAAATTCAAAAAATCAAAGTGTATGAACTTGGAAATGGATATTCAAAATGTACTATTAACACATGCTCAGGATCTATGTCATTTACAAATGGCTCAGTGACGCTCAGTGAGTGGAGAGGGAGTGTTTTTCAAAGCTATTATAAGATAACAAACAAATAAATCAGGCTAAAATTCGATTCTGTATAATATGCTGAATATACATGAAAATATAGGAAATCTTCATCATATATAATTCCTAAAATATATCTGTAGAAAATAATCTGTTTTGAAGAAAACAAATTTTCTATGTTGGCTGTTACGTAAAGTATGTAGCATATATATAAATAGATGATACAAAAAAAATACTTTTTTTTTTCCCATCCTTTTATACTTCAGGGAGACCCAATGAATTCTTCGCAGTCAAAAATGAAATAAAATAAAACCCAATAGAAATATTTATCAGAAATACATAACAGTAGTAACAAAACCTAGCAAACGAATGACAAAATGTTTAAGAAGGAAATGAGATTTTTTTTAGACAGAATTTAGAAGGTAACTATTTAAACTGATAATTGTACTATGATTTTATGCATGGTTATTGAGTTCTTAAACAGAGAATTTATTTTCAAGTGTACCTAATTTTGAATTAGGCCTACAAAAGCCTACGATATTTCATTAATCAGTTAGCCTCAAAGGTTCGACTCCAATGTTGGTTATTAATGTTTATGGCTTGAATTACAGATAGCACTTTGTCTTATATGTAGCGTATGTCTGAATCTCTAAAATTGAAATGCAGCCATAATATTTGTATAACCAGTAAAAATCACCTGCTATCCTGCACTGAAGCAAACTCCCCATTAACAGCCAGAAAAATAAATTAGTTGAGTGCACAACTGAACAAAATGTTGTCACAAACGTTTTCATTTTTATGTATTATGAATGCTCAAATCTGAAGAGGCTGATGCAAAATAAATAAGGTAAGGAATGAGAGGCAGCTGATTCTGATGTATTGGGGTTTCATGTTCCTAAGAGCTAAGCTTTGAGTTTAAACTTGTGAATGCTAAAAGATTTGTAAATTTAGTTTAAAAAAAAAAAATAAAAAAAATTGCCATTAAACTCAAGGTAGGAAATTACTATACATTTTTTTATGTATCTTTATATAAAAAGTTACAAGTAGCAAGCATATGACACAGAAATGGAACAGTAACAGCAACAGTTGTGAATGCATGCTTTTTACAATGTGTCTAATAAAGAGATTTTTGCCAACTCAAATATTCAGTAACATACATGCAGGTTATTTTCTCAATGTCAAATTCAGCCATATTGCTAGATGCTTATCCAACAAACATTTCTACTGAAGTGATTATGAGCTGCTAAATACCTGATTTTAATAAATTGTTCCTGAAATTGGGAATTTTACTTGCAATGAAAAGAAGAGAGAAATAGAAAAAGAGAAAGGATTGATAAGCATAATGATGAAAGTCTTATTGCCATCTAGTGATTTTACTCAACACTGTTTGCTGAATTTTGTCATGATATGAGAATAGCTGGTCAGAGTCCATAAAACCTCTAGCTGGTGTTTCCAAGGTCCATAGTTTCACATTTCATTGTAGCATGTTCAAAATCACCCAGGTGCGCACTATTCTCAAGAACTCTATATAATGAAAACAATGTACATACAACAAAAGTTCAGTGTAACTCTTCTTCCACGTATCACACATACATGTTGATAACAGACAAAAAATATATCAAACAAAATAAATCTAAGAAAAAAAAAAATAAAGTAGGGACAATCTCAGCCAGGAGCTAACTTCTTCAAGTTTGCAGCAAAACTTAAAATGTATTTAAAATCTAAGGAGCACTTGGTGGCCTGCAACCAAACTAGAAAAGAAACATATTATTGTGCAATGGGAATCTTTTGCTAAAGAAGTAAGAAATGTCTTAGGTTTGGATAAAGGCAGTGAAATGAAATTAGAAACATGTCCACTCTCTTTCTGACAGCTGAAGTAAGTCACTAGAGATTTTTCCATTCAGTTCACATGACTGTATAAATATTTCTTCTCTGAAAGCAAAAAAAAAGTTAAAATATGTTTTCTCTAGGTTTACTTAAACTATCTATAATAATAATAATAATAATAATAATAATAAGCATTAATGGAATCTCTCTGAAATTGTTGTATAGATGTACGTACATGTAACATGTATATACATATATATGTCTATATGTATATACATATGCAAATTGGCAGACTAACAACTATCTATAACTTTAATACACAAAAATGAGATGGTATTTATTAAGTGTTGATAAGAAATTACATAAAATTAAACGCCTAGGAAAAGACTCAGAAATAAAATTTAATTTCCAACATTAACATTAATTCTACAGAATTTCTAAATTTATCTGCACTCCCATAATTTTTTCCCCTGACACTTAACAAGATTAAAGAGTTATTTCCTATTTTCATGGCTTGGGTTAGACTGATAAATTTCACATAGATTCACATATCAAGACTCTAAGTTTTAATTTCACAAACAAAAAATTAATAAAACACTGGAACTATGCTAAGCATCTCTTTTTATGATGTGTTTAGAATGCAGGTTATATTTAGATGAAAGATTATACTTAGCTGATTCAACAATCAAGCATAAGAATTCAATAGGTATTGTTTTAGTTCACAGTGCTAAACTAATCATCTATCTGATGTTTAGTTTTCTCTGTAGTCAAACCTACATCTCTTTCTATGCAAAGACTTCTATGAGGTGGTGTATAGACTAGGAACTAACAGACATTTTAACAATATAACAAATAAAATGAAATGCAACAGATGGTTCATTTGTTGTACAGGTATGTTTACTTACCTCAGGTTTGTCTCTTAGACCCTAGTTGTGTTGTACTCAGACTCATGTTTGCTTAGAGACCCAATGAGGCAGAACCTGGAATGTTATGGCTATTTCATTCAAAATAATAATGTTTGCATAGAAAAAAAAGAAATATATGCATATAGATACTTAATAGAGAGTACATATTGATTAGCTGTTCAATATTCATGAAGTAATTTACATTGGCATGCAATTAGATTAAGATAAATAACTTCTTTTTAAGAGGAAGAAATGCCTTAATGTGCAAAGAAAATATGGAGAGCATGTAAACAGTCACAAGAAGTGCATAAATAATGCATGCAAGAGAAAACACAAATATTTATAAAAAGTTTCTGCTTGCTTTTCCAAACAAATGGTTCATATCTCTTTTTCCTTTTTTCTCTACTTGTAAACTTTTAATCATTTATATTTACAGTCATTTAGAGTGCAATATGCAAATTAGCTTTTCTATTAAAAATATCATGCTCAACATTTTCACTGATTAAAAAGATTTTTTTAAACTACATTCTTATATGTAAAAATATGAGCATTCTCTATTCACTACACTATAAAAAAACACACTGTGATAGTGGAACACATACATTAATGTTATGCAAATACTGTCACTCACTTCATAAAAGATACTATTTAATGGGTTTCCTTACTGCAGGATAGCATGTCTCCTTGTTCTGTCATGTGTCATAACGAATAGACGTATTTTTGTTGTTGATGCATTGATTTAGACATGTTAGACCAACAGTGGACAAAATTCAAGGCCACCTCAGTTTCTAGGAAACCATATGCATGTGGCTATTTCAAAAGCTAAATTTAGACAAAATCTTTGGTTTTTTTTTTTTTTAAATGTACCTGTTCTCTGTTGGCTTGTGTGTGCACGCATGTGGGCATGTAAATAAAACAGTGAAAGAAAGATATTGGATAGAAAGGTGAAACTGAGATGCAGAAGCCTCCAGGAAACTGGAGATGGAAGACAGAGAGTGATAATAAAATGGTGTGTGCTGTCAAGAAACAGAAATTTAAGCAATAAACAGAGAAAGAAAAGAATATGTCTTTACTGGAAGAAAAAAAAAAAAAAAAAGTGAATATGTTTGGGCAATCAAGTCCTTACACAACAGTCTTCATCAAAAATCTATTGATACTGACCGCTGAACAGCTTTATCATGTCTTGACAGCCTGTGGCTTGTGGTTGGTACCTCTTCAATTTCATCTATCTCACACGCATCTGCGGCATCTTGTGAGTAGCTATGCTTCATGACAAGGATATTTCTCCTGTTCACGGGCTGAATGAGGGGTTTTACAGGCTGGGGTTGTATTTCTGTCAAGACAGAAGCATCTCTTGTGCTGAGGTTACTACGGCTGCCCTTAGTGCTAGACAGTTGTGATCCACAGTGATGGTCATGAATGCATTTTGAAGATGATCTCCGCAGTTTATGATAATTTTCAAAGTCATCTGCAACATCAGCAAGGTCAGCTGTAGTCCCTGTCCCTCTGAGGGTGCATAACTCATAATGAGGAGGCTCAAACACCTCCTGGAACACTGTTTGATCAAAGTCTGTTTTCCTTTGGACAAATTTTTTACGAGGCTGCTTGATCTGTACTATCACAGAGATAACAATGAGGATGATGACAATGCAAGAGGTCACCCCAATTATAGTCCCACTGGTATTGGTGAGTTGGTCCAATAGGTTAGCTTTTCTTTTTTCTGCGTGCAATGAAAAAAAAGAAATAAAACAAAGAATTAATTTCACGTCAAGATTAAAAACAGCCATGATGTGTTCACAGATCACTGCAAAGCCACACCTGGTCTATGTCTAAGTTCACATAATCGGTCTTCCTGGAGAAAAATGAAAAGGAAGAAATCAGGTACTCGTGGAAACCAAATAAATAACAAGTAGGTCGTTTTATTGGCTCCACACTTGGTTAGTGCTTTATTCAGGGTATATTATAGTCTTAGCTAGCTGAAATATTTATATATGTTTGTTTAATAAAAAAAGCAACTACAGTAAGAAATAGATGGATTTAGTGCCACCTCTGAACTCTATTCACCTGCTAAATCCCCACATCAGATGCAAAAGTTCTCTGTTATTTACTGTCTATTCCAGAAAATACATGCAGGTAGAACATTAAGATTAATGAAACAGCAAATCTTTACAGGTTCTAGAAATAAATTCTTTGTATTGGGAACTTTTTTGAACTACTGTTATTTACGAGCTAACTGGGACTGATGATAGTCAATGAAAAGCTAAGTTAGGAGAAAATAGAAAAGCTATTCAAACTGAGCTTCCAGAAAGGGGGAAAAAAAAAAAAAAAAAAAAAAAAGTGCAGGTTACTTATTTTTTTTGTGACCTATTAATTTCCAGAATGTTACTAAAGATGTATAAATACTCAAAGCTGATCAGAGCTACGATGCTTTACTCAAGATCTGCCAAGAAGCTGGCCAGAAAATTCAGTGTTGAGAATGAAGAAAAATATGCAATAAAATTATACAGAGAAAAAAAAAAAATCACTCTAGTTCTTCCGTGATTTAATTTCAAACGGCTGACGACACCTGAGACAGTGATGGAGCCAAGCTGAAAGCAATCACAGCAGCTTCTCACAGGCATATCAAAATTGACAACTGTGATTAAGTTCCAGTACCCGGTCTGGTGTTATTTTTCTATCAACTTAAAACATACCAAAGAACATAATAAAAAGCCTTTGAAATGAAAGTCACTGGCCCCAAAATGATAAAATCCAGCTCTTTGTAATCTTCTTGATACCCAAAATGAACTTTTCAGTACTCCCCATTGCCTACTCTTATAGACTCCTTTGAGGTTTCTCTAACTGACTGACAAAGTCTACAGGGAAAGAAGATTTTTTTTTTTTTTTAGAAAAAGCAACAGAGCAGCAAACAGTTGTTTTTGCTGGAACCATCACGCAGGATGGGATACAAGCACAGAGCCCAATAAAAAAATATTTGGCATGTGAAAGATGAAAATCATTCTGGAAATTAGAGAGGGAAAGGTTTTCTATTTTCATCTGTGCTGAAAAAGCAGCGTTCTTCTCTGGTTGTTTATTTCTTTGAAGAATATTTTTTTCACGTCACAATTTTGTTGTGTTCCTTTGAAACATGATTTCATTTATTTTTCACCCTGCTGCACTGCTTGTCAGGCTCTTACAGACTTCAGCAGACTCACAAGCTGATGGCTAATCCCCATCATTCTGAATTTTTTCTTGATTGGTTCCTAAATTTGGCATTACCCATGTTTTCAGGAACAAATCTGCTGTAGCAGAGGAGGGGAAAAAAAAGAAGCAGCAGACCATATCCTGGGTCTGCAATGCAAGTTAGTTAAGGTCTTTCTTATGAAGACAACACAGATGCTGGCTTCTATAGAAATATAGAGCAGTATTTAGAAACTTTGTCAACACCCGATTGGAAATATCAGTTCCTGCCTATGAAACAGACATGATGCCTGTGCTTATCCTTGCACTTCAATTTCACTAGGTGATGATAAATGGATCTGGATGCTTTTTAATGGTGCTAGTTTCAGTTCAGCTGTGTTGTTTGCTTTTAGCCCACCTGGGCTATTGTTGGCATGACGTGCAGCTAGCAGACACCTGCTATGCATATGCTACTCTACTGCATAGGTAACTATACCAAAGGAACCAAAAGATTACTGTTAATTAACTTTGATATTGTACAGAAACCAAATGGTCAGAAAGCCTGCCAGAAGGATATAACGAACACAAACAAGCACCAAGCAAAATAAATGCAAACACTGAAAGCAAAATCCATGAAGATTTTCACGTCTGCATTTTAATCTGTTGTCTGTTGCATACTGCCCTTGAATTTCAATTCATGAGCCTTGATCAATCTGATACATACTTAACAAGAAACTAAGGATAATATGCTGTATTCCATGTGTCTGATAAACTGACAGTTTCAATCCTACACATTACCTTTGCAGTGGTTTTCATCCCAAGGATACACGCAGTTCTGGAGTCCATTGCAGACCAATGTATTATTAATACACATATTACTGTGGCAAAAGAAAGTGTTGGCTTCACAAGGGGCTAAAAACAAAAATAAAAAGCTGATATTAAATAGTAAATCATTCAGTTCTTTACAACAAATACATCGTAATCACCTGTACTTAGAGAAAGCTGTACAACACAGGTTCTTTAAGCATATTTAATAACTGACATACACTATCAGCAGCACTCAAGTCACACACCATTTATTCTCTGGAGCAACAGATTTTCACTTTTGTCTAAGACAGATGAACTTCTTCACCACAGTTTAACTCTGATGGCTGCAGCGGGTTGACACCTCAAATATTGGTGGAGGGTCATTGGAGTGTAATCAACATAGTTTTAGCATGTTTTTAGCATAGTTTTAACACTGATCCAAAACAGTGCTTTATGAGCTGATAAGGAGAATGTTGACTGTATCATAGCTAGATCCAGTACACATCAAAGAATTTGTTTCAAAGTTTGTTCTGAAACTCCAATTTTAGAAGAAACCTTGCATGACTGAAAATACATACTTTAGTGCTTGTATCAATGATGTCTGAACACTTATATACAGAGAAAATAAAAATATTAAAAAAGAAGCTAAAAAAGAAAGATTGCAGTAAAAAAAAATGTATCCTATTAACCACATGTGAAGATTAAAAACAGCAACACTCATCAGTGTCCTTAGAGCTCATAATTTAAGAGAATCATGCAGGATTAAAGCTTTACTGAAGAACAAACTTTTACATTGGTGGCTTCGAAGTCATCAACAGGAATTGGACCTGCTTCTCAGGTATTGGGGTTATAAAGATACTATTCCAAAATCATTTCATATAGTAAAGATAACTCACTTTTCATATTTCTTTTAATTAAATTAAAAAAAAAAAAAAAAGCCAGAAGATCTTCCTCATTATGGAAAAAAACTACACAATTTATCAGTGTGAAATCAACAAAAATGAACTCTTCATACAATTTTATTTTAGCTAAACCCAAACCATTATTATATTTCCTAAAGAAAAGTTTTTAAAAATAACCTAAGAACCTACTAATCAAAAAGCAGTTATGATGTTGACATAATTCAATTTTGGTACTTAAAATTTGATGCTTCATGGCATCAGTTACATTCTTTTGAATAAATAATAAAAGCCGTCAAAACTTGTATATGTCCCTAGATACGAGGTTGCTCTGAAACTAATTCTCAGCTACACAACACTATTTTTTTACACAGTCACCACCGTTAGCTATGCAATTTCACCACCAAGGAACAAGAGTCTGAATGCTGAGCTTGTAAATATCTGTACCAGCAGAGGTGATCCATTGTTTCACAGTTGCTGTGATGGCACCATTAGTGGGAAAATGTTGCCCACACAGTTCATCTTTCGTAAGCCCAAAGAGATGAAAATCAGAAGGTGCGAAATCCAGATATACAGTGGGTGTGGCAGGACAGTCCAGCCCAGATTGGCAGTGTGCTCAAACTGGTAGGGGGCATGGTGCTATCATGTTGCAAGAGAAAAGCTGTCTTCTTCTCTGGCCTGATTCTGGAAATTTGCTTGTCCAGGTTTCCAGAAATCCAGAAGAATCACTCCTTTCCTATCCCAAAAGCCAGTGTACATCGCTTTACCCTCTGAGGGCTTCATCTGGAATTATTTATAGTATGGGGAACTCACACGTCACCACTCCACAGACTGCTGTTTTGACTCTGGCTCATAGTAGTGACACCATGTCTCATCAACGGTAATGATGTGATCCATAAAACTGTCAACTTCAGCCTTGTATTTGTTCAATAGGTCCTGATAAACTTGCACAGTGTTCTTTCAGTTCCTGCATGAGAATTCATGGGACCCATCTGTTGCAAACTTTGCAATATTCCAATGCTGCAACCATCATTTCCAATACAATGAAGTTGATATTCAGCTCTACACACAGTTCCCTGGCTGAAATCCACCAATTCGCACAAATTAGCTGATTGAGATGCCTGTCTTCTTGGAGTAACAGCTGTGCATGACCATTTAGCCTTGTTTATCAGGTCGCTGTCTCCACTGGCACACTGTGGTCATATCCACTGCTTGGTCTCCATAAACATTCGAACATTCAGAAAGTGTCAATGAATATTAATGGGTGCATTTTTTTTTTTTCTCATGTGGAAGAATTCAACAGCATATCTTTGCTTCATACACACATCCATGTCAGACACCATTTTGTCTGACTGCCCTTCTGCTGCCATCTGTCACAGCAACAACAAGTAATGGGATATCGGTGGGAAGATTCAACCTCTACTACCATACCACTATCATCTACCTCTAATATCATGGGCCACTATAGTACAACAGGCATTGTTTTCAGAGCAGCCCTTGTACAAACCTATCCAATCACACACTATAGTATAAATATATTTATCTATGGCACACATAAAGGTTTGCATCTTCAAATAGCATATATTTTCTAATCTACACTTCTGTTGACTTCACAGAAGTCCAGTATTGTCAGAGGCTTAAAGAGTTATTGATCTATTATATAAATAACACATTTTTAAAACACAAATATTTACGTAAAATAATGCACATAAAAATTTTCATTTGGGAGGCTTTATATGTTGGATTTATGTGTTTTTGAAATATGAAGCATAACAGCTCTTTTGTTTCCATCATTTGCATTGCTTTTAAAAAGTAGAAAATAGTTCTAAAATATATGTAATATATCATAATATCCCTTAGTGGCAATAGTTACAGTTCCATAGCAGAAGATTTATTTTAATGCTTACAGTTTATATTTTCCTTCTGCCCAGATTACAGCTCAAGTTTCATGGCTGCACAGTACCTGGAACCAAGGCTTGGGGAAGCCACACTGCGGAAAAGGTAGGGGAAGAGTTGAGTGCTTTTGCAGAAGGCAAATTGGCCAAACTGATTCTGCCAATTACCAGTGTTCAGTTTTGGAAACATCCATACACCATCTCTCCAGCCTGCAGAGAGCTTGATCAGGTATTAAGTTTGTTAAAGGAAGGCTTTTACTTTAAAGCAGGTAGAAAAGCAGAACAGCACACATACATATTATAAAATGAGAGTACTTTGGTACAGTCCTTATTTGGAGACAGCGTCACATCATGATGTAGTAGAGAACCTGCCAGAGGCACCATCACTCTTGCACAACCTAGCTGCAATCCTTTTTCTCTGGTCAGTGTGGAGATAATCTGGCACTCTAACTGCCTGCTCTAAGCAAAAAATTAAAGAGAAAGGGAAAGAACTTACAAAAGGGAAATCTAAGAACACCTAACTAGCTACCAATCAAAATAAATCATAACACATAAGAAGTGCACAAGAAAAGAAGACCGAAATGCTAATAAAGACATAAAGAAAACAAACAAACACAATACACAAACCAGCGTGAAAGGCATTAGAAGTGAAGCGGTGAGGATGAAGTGCTGTTTCAGCAGGCAGAACCCTAAAACGCCCTTGCCACTTTAAATTCAGTCTGATCTAACTCTGAATGTGACAGCAAAGAAAGGATTCATAGTGGGAAAACAGCTCCCCAAGACATTAGAGAACAATTTAAACATAGGAAGGAAATATGGGAATTTAGAAGTATGATAAATAGAAAAAAAAAAATAGCTGGAGGAAAGTAGTAAAGGAAATGAACAGTAAAGGAAGAATGAAAGACATGGAAATAGAGGAAATATAAGACATTCTGTGCTGAAAGTAATTAGAAAATACTATATCAAATTAAAAATATTAGCAAATGTTCCAGCAATAAGACAGAAAAAAAGAAGAGCAATTCTTTTCTTTCCTTCTTTTTTTTTTTT